TGAAGTTGTCAACTTGGGCATGACTTTTCGATTGCCGGTGTGATAGGGAGCTCTGACAGGCTGTGTCACTGTGGTTTTTAACTTTTTAACGCGCTTTTAAAAAAATTACGAGCAAGGGTTGAACATCATTTCCATATTTTAAAAATTCGTGTTTCTTTTTCTTTGAACTGTCCGATTGTGTCCTTGGCCGCCCGCTGTTCTTGCTTGGTTTGTTTTTTCTTAATAGTAATAGAGTTGGTTTTTTTTTTTTTTTTTTTGAGACAGAGTCTCACTTTGTTGCCCAGGCTAGAGTGGAGTGCCATGGCGTGCCTAGCTCACAGCAACCTCAATCTCCTGGGCTCAAGTGATCCTCCTGCCTCAGCCTCCCGGGTAGCTGGACTACAGGCATGCGCACCATGCCCGGCTAATTTTTTTTTGTATATACTACTTTAGTTGGTCAATTAATTTCTTTCTATTTTTAGTAGAGGATGGGGTCTCCGCTCAGGCTTGGTTTCGAACTCCCGACCCTCGGAGCAATCCGCCGCCTCGGCCTCCAGAGGTGCTAGGATTACAGGCTTGAGCCACCGCCGCCGGGCCAGTAATAGAGTTTTTATTAATGTAATAAAATTTTAACACAGCTGAAGAGAAATCCGTATTTGTTCTGTCATACGTGTTATGTAAACGTAATTCTCAGTGTTGATTTAGCTTGATATTTTTTTTTTCCATAAGGAAAGTTAAAGAATGTATGCAGTCAGATTTATAATCTGTTTCCCTCAGAGGCTTTTATGTTTTGTTTTGTAACATTTCAATTTTGATCCATCTGGAAATGGTTCAGTGTTAGGAGGTGAGGTAGGGATCTTGATGTTTCCCAGAGGGCTAGCTGGTTCCAATTACTTTTGCTGAATGATATTTTCCCTCTTGATTTAAAATACTACCTTAATCATAAGCAAATGTCCACATGTACTTGGGAGTGTTGGTGGGCTTTTCTTCCAGCAAACTATTTGTTTGTGGAACAAGTCATTTAAGTCTCATACGATGTCTGCCTCAAAGTGAGTGTTCTCTCTCACTAACCTTTTATCTTCCTTCTTCAGGTTTTCTTGTTTTTTTTTTCTTTTGAGACAGAGTCTCCCTTTGTTTGCCCAGGGCTAGAGGTGGAGTGCCTGTGGCGTCAGCCTAGCTCACAGCAACCTCAAACTCCTGCGGCTCAAGCGATCCTCCTGCCTCAGCCTTCCCGGAGTAGCTGGGACTACAGGCATGCGCCCCATGCCCGGCTAATTTTTTCTCTATGTATTAGTTGGCCAATTAATTTCTTTCTATTTATAGTTAGAGGATGGGGTCTCACTCTTGTGTCAGGCTGGTTTCGAACTCCTGACTTCGAGCAATCCACCTGCCTTGGCCTCCCAGAGTGCGAGGATGACAGGCGTGAGGCACTGCGTCTGGTCGGTTATTCTTGCTTATTTATTTTTTTGGTTTTTGTTTTTTTTTTTTTTTCGTCAGAAATGGACTATGAACATTTATTTTTTGTATAACCTCCACAATCAGATTTCCCTCTCGAGAAATTCTCTCAGCCTTTTTACAGCAAATTTCTTAATATTTATAGATTAATTATAGAATGGTTGACATTTTTATGACCTTGAGTCTGCTTTTCCAAGAACAGATTAAGTTTGTCATTTATGGAAGGGTTAACATCCTTCCATATTATTTTGTATTTTTTGTTTTCTTTCTGTGAATCTTGTACCATTCTTGTTCTTTTCTTCTTAACTGTTTTCTCTTAATGGGCTACACTTATAAATGAAAACTTTTCTTCTTCTTCTTCGTTTTTTTTTTTTTAATACCACTGTTGTTGGAACGCAGGAAAGCTATCGACATTTGTATATTACATTCGTAGAAGCCTTTTGCTAGATTCTTTTACCGTTTGTAATAGTTTTTCACTTACCAAATTCTTTTCTTATTCGTAATGGTTTTTCACTTTGGTTATCAGGCCGACATCATTTGGAAATAATGATCCTATTATCTCCTCTTTAAAAAGTCTTATTTATTTATTCTTTTTACAAAGAATAGCACAAAGATTACTTTATTTTTACTTTCCAATGATCTAGCAGATGTTTAGGGCGGTTGATGATTCTTTAGTCATCCGGATCACTATTTCCACTTCTGGGAACTAATCGCGGGGGACTCACCCAAGAAAAGATTAGTATTAATATTCCGTGCGCGGAGCCACGCGTGTTAGAGCACACACGTGTGTTAGAGCACACACGCGTGTTAGAGCACACACGCGTGTTAGAGCACACACGTGTTAGAGCACATGCGTGGGAGCAGAAACGGGAAGCTGTCGGCGCTCCGTTGGTGGGAGGGTGCTCAAGCTCGCTGTCAGTGGGGCGGCCGCCCGAGGGACTGTCCCCCACACCCGACTGTGGGGACCAGACACAGATAAGTTAAATCTTTTGCACGGCATGGAGCGAGAAGAGCAGGACAGGCGATATGTATCTGCAAAAGGTCCTGTCTGCTCGGGGTGCAAGGAGCGAAAAGGGAACTTTGAGCCGGTGGGGAGGAAACACCGAGGGACGGTGGAAGACCAGACGCGAGCTCGGACACGCGTGTGCGAGTCGCGTCCGCAACAGCACGCGGCGCGATTCCGAGCACGGCGTTCACGCCGCCTTGTCTTCACTAAGAGGCCAGGAGGACAATGCTCTTACAGATTAGCCTGAGGACAAAGCGAGGACGTGTTTGTTAAGTACCTCAAACGAGGTCTGGCAGAATATTGCTGTTAGTTTCTTCCTCTTTTATTATTTATTTTTTATTTTTTTTGAGACAGAGTCTCACTCTGTTGCCCAGGCTGGAGTGAGTGCTGTGGCGTCAGCCTAGCTCACAGCAACCTCAAACTCCTGGGCTCAAGCAATCCTCCTGCCTCGGCCTCCCGAGTAGCTGGGACTACAGGCATGCACCACCATGCCCGGCTAATTTTTTCTATATATTTTTAGTTGGCCAATTAATTTCTTTCTATTTATAGTAGAGACGGGGTCTCGCTCTTGCTCAGGCTGGTTTGGAACTCCTGACCTCGAGCGATCCTCCCGCCTCGGCCTCCCAGAGTGCTGGGATGACAGGCGTGAGCCGCCATGCCCGGCCACGAGGCGTGTTTTGAACCGAGAGCGCGTGCTGGCTTTTACCCGCTGCCTTTTCCACGTCTCCCTGGGTGGTGGCGGTCGCGGGGCTCTCCCCCCACCCATTTATCGGCAGCTCTCCCCCCTCCCAGCGCGACCTGACGTTCTCCCTCTTCTTCCCCCAGGGTTTGAGGTCCTGGCTTCTGCCTCCCATTACTGGCCGCTGGAGAGCGTGGACGGGATCCGCGAGCTGCAGGACACCACCGGAGGTACACGCGGGCGGGCGGTGGCGAGGGTGCCGTGGTCGGGGAGGCCACGTGCCACGGGGTGGGGGGGGCGGACGTGGGAGGGGTCTGCTCGGAGTGGAAACTGGGCCGGAGGAGACTGTCGGGCGAATGTCGGCGTCTCTCCCCCCTCGAAACTGTCGCAGAGGGTTTCGCTAGAACTGCCACACACAGCACTACCGCGCGTTGAAGCGCAGCGTTTCCGACTCAGACACGATCGGAATGTGCGTCTCCCCAGCCTCAGGGCGGAGGCTGCCGTCCGGATCCGTCTGTGGGTGAGTCCGGAGCACGTCTTCCAGCTCGGCCAGACCGGCATGGTCTCCGTGTCCACCCAGACAGGGGCCTGTGTGCAGCAGGGGCCAAAGTCGTGCCGGCTGAGGGTCGCTCACAAGGGCACTGACTGACTGCCCGCTCCCCGCACAGCGGCGACCCTCGAGAAGACCCAGCGTCGCCTGCCGGCTTCCCAGGGGCCCAGTTCCGTGGGAAACTGTGTCTCTATTTGACTCAGCTCCTACATTTGCTAGTAGGGGAAACCCAAGATACCCCTGAGCATTTTTCCCCATTCCAATAAGAACCTTTTCCCAACTCTAAGTCTGGACAGATTTGGGATCATTTTTACCTTTTTTAAAAAATTTTTTTTGTTGTTTGTCTTATTTTATTTTATTTTTTTGAGACAGAGTCTCACTCTGTTGGCCGGCTAGAGTGTCATGAGCGCCTCAGCCTAGTCACAGCAACACTCAACTACCTGGGCTCAAGCGCTCCTCTGCCTGCCAGCCGCCGCGAGTGACGCTTGGACTAACAGGCATGCCCCAACCATGCCCGGCTGAATTTGTTTTCAGTTTATTGTTTAGTTGTCCAGCTATTTTCTTGTCTTTTTTTTTTTTTTTCTGTTTTGAGACAGAGTCTCACTTGGTGTTGCCACGGCTAGAGTGAGACGTGCCGTGGCGTCAGCCTCGCTCACAGCAACCTCCAACTCCTGAGCTCAAGTAATCCTCGCTGACTCAGCCCTCCCAAGTAGCCTGGGACTACAGGCATGCACCACCATTCCGCAGTTTTCCTATATATACCTTAGTCTGCCGGCCAATTAATTTTCTTCATTATTGTATAGGTAGAGGCGGTCTCGCGCGTCTTGCTCAAGGCTGGTTTCGAACCTGGACCTCGAGACGATCCTCCCACCTGCGGCCTCTCCCACACGGCTGAGCCACCGGCGGCCCAGCTCACTAATTTTTATTTTTTTGAGACAGAGTCTCCACTCTGTTGCCGTGCTAGGTGAGTGCCGTGGCCGTCAGCGCGTACGGGTCAGCAGCTAACCTCAGACTCTGGGCTGGCTCATGCCTCAGCCTCCACGTGTGGGTAGGTGGCGTGCCGGCTCAAGTTCTTGTTTCCATCTTTATTTTTAGTTGTCCAGCTAACTTTTTGGACGGGGTTGTGCTGGGCTGGTCTTGAATCCCAGACCGCTCGAGCAATCATCCCCATCAAGCTCCCCACGAGTGCTGGGATGACAGGCGTGAGCCACCGCGCCCGGCCCTATGTTTTTATCTTCATGGACTTAGTGCTGTTGGACGTGTCAGACGGCAGAGGTATACAGAAGGCGTCTCACTGTGAGCCGGCCCTGTCAATGCTTCAGTGGTCTCTACGCTGGTTCTGTGTCATGCGTTTTTTTTTCTTTTCCCAAAAGCCACAGACTGATGGTTACCCTCCTTCCCACACTCGCACGCTGGCATTTTGCTCGCTCCTGTGAACATTCAGCGTTGCAGGGTTTTAAAACACTCCCTGAGCAAGTTTGCTGTGCGACTGGCACAGGTTAAAACAAACCGCGTCCCCTCGCTGTAATCTGGTTTTCCTTTCTCGGGGCCTTTAATTTAAAGCCGACTGAAAGGGGATCATGTTCACCAAGCGGAAGCGCGTTGTTGAAGTAGCTCGGTGTCCGGGACCCGGCAACGACAACTTCAGGAGTTATTGCGGACGAGAGCCCCGATAGCCGTGGGCGTGCCTCCTCTCTCCCCGCCCCGCAAATGAGCTCCCTGTTGTGGGTGGAACCAGTCGCTCTTGGCGTTCAGAAAGCCTTGACCCGTGAAAAAGCCCTCTCCTAGGGTGGCAGAACGGCCCACGGCGTGCGGTTACACGCTGCGGGGGGGTTTGCTCGCTGAGCCCGTTGGCTTCTAATATGTCGACATCTGTTCCGCAACACAGCACGGTGACCGTCTCACGGCGCCTCCCCGCGGGCACCGTTCCTCGAGTCACGACCGTCCCGGTGTGTTTTACATTGATGACAGGCTTCGTAAGGGGAAGGGACGGAGTGGGGTCCATCAGCACAGTGTGCCGCCGCGGACAGCCGGTGGCCTCCAACAGCCCCTGCCGGGGGGCGCGGCTTTGCCCTCTGTCTGCGAACCGTCCGCGTCTCGTCCGTGTGTCGTGCCCCACGCGGTTGTCCTCACGCGTGTCTCTGTCTCATCTGTCCTCGTGACATTGTCACCACTCATTAACCCTTCCGTGAAGGCCGTTCTGTAAGCGGCCAAGTTCAAGTTCGTATCTCTCAACCGAGTGTCCGCCTGGGAGCTGGAGCCGGCGGCAGCCGGGAGCTGCGGCCGGCACCAAATCCAGCAGCCGTCGCGCCCCGGCTTTGGGATGCGCGGGGCCGGGAGGGGGCCGGCCCTGGGGGCCTCAGGGAGGGGAGGCGGGAGCGAAGAGGAGAGAGGAGTCCCGCTGCGAGTCGTGGGTTGAGAGATATGTCGCGTCCGTCCGTGTGTTTTTGTCTCATTCATGTTTTGTGCTTTTCTCTTTTGTCGCCCCCCCCAGCGTTGCGAACCCACAACCTCACTGTGCCCCCTCCCCATAACTCTACCTTTGTGCACACCAACGACTCTGCCTACTCCAACCTCTCTGCGACGTAGGTGAGCAGCGCCCCTTCGCTCTGCGACCCGTCTGGTCGGAGAGTTCTAAGGCCGGCGCCCTCGGGGGCGCGGGCGTTCTCTCTGCCGTGGCCGGCAGATGAGCCAATGTCCCAGGTGCGGCAGGCCCAGGTGTCAGCGGTGGCCACGTAGGGCTGACCCTGAGGCAGGTGTCACAGGTCCAGGTACATCAGGAGGTGGGACGAGCCCTTCAGGTTGCCGGCACTTTCTGAACAGGCTGCTTGTTTTCAGCACGAAATAGACGCAGGAGGAGACCTTTTCTAAACATGAGAAATATTTGGATTTTTAGACAGAGCCTGTGCTTTGGGGCAGGCAGAGCAGGCCCTTTGAATGGAAAAGCAAGGCTGGTTTTCATTTTTTTTTGAGACAGAGTCTCGCTTGTTTGCCCAGGCTAGTGAGTGCGTGCCGGGCGTCAGCCTAGCTCACAGGCAACCTCAAATCCTGGGCTCAAGCAATCCTGTTGCCTCAGCCTCCCGAGTAGCTGGGATACAGGCATGCGCCACCATGCCGGCTAGTTTTTTCTTATATATATTAGTTGGCCAATTAATTTCTTCTATTTATAGTAGAGACGGGTCTCGCTCTTGCTCAGGCTGGTCTGAACTCCTGACCTTGAGTGATCTCGCGCCTCGGCTCGCAATTGAGTGCTAGGATGACAGGCGTGAAGCACCATTACTTGGCTGGCTCAGATGCTAACGTTTCCAATCCAGAATAAGCGGATATTGTTGTGCAGCCACTAGTGATCCATTCACGTCTGCACCGTGCAGACCTCTCCCAGCAATCGATGGCTGAATAAAAACATGACGGGTTTTAAGGTGTGAGGAGGAACACAGAGGCCCCTCGATTCGGCCACGCACAGGACAGCGTGCTGGGAGAGCCGAGCGGGGTGGGGGCCGTGTCGAAAGACCAGGGTAGCCCTTGCTGAATGCCCAAGTCCTAGTGAGGTGGCGATGCTCAAGGGTCAGGAGTTCGAAACCGGCCTGAGCCTGAGCAAGAGCAAGACCCCGTCTCTACTAAAAATACAAGGATATTAATTGGCCAACTAAAAATAAGAGGACTTAATCCTTACTCTTGGAGGTTGCTGTGAGCGAGGCTGACGCCACGGCACTCACTCTAGCCCGGGCGACAGAGTGAGACTCTGTCTCAAAAACAAAAACACATAATTATGGGTTTTCCTCATAGAGTCTGAGAATGGATTTTTTTTTTTTTTTTAAATCCTGAGGACACATGTCTGGGATTAGGGGCTTTCAAGAACAACTCATAAGGAGAGGGAGTTCAGTCGTAGCTTTACGTACACACTCGCGCTGGGATCTTTCGCGTGGGACGTTCAGTGGGGGGTGGGAGCCCCCGGGAGGACGCACAAAACATGCGGAGGCCACCAGAGTTCAGGACGGTGGCAGGTTAGGGTCAAGGCCCTCGAGGAGTGCACCTGCGGGCAAATGTAATAACTGTGACATCATAACACACATCTTACACAAATATGATGTTAACGGGATTTAGTACTAATTTATCATCTAACCCTTCAACCCTAAATTATCTATAATGTAATTATTGACATTCAAATATTGATCCGGTCTATGACATTACTATCATAGAGAGATGCAGATCATGGGCGTGTAATAAAATTAGAAAGATGAATGACGGCGGGCATTGTATATACGCTGTGGGTCTGACGCGCGCCTCCGGGCCTCGAGTCTCGCGCGGTCGCTGACGCACGGCTCCTCTGTCTCGCCCAGACATCGTGGAGGGCCGGGTCAACAAAGGCATCTACCTCAAGGAGGAGAAGGGGGTCACGCTCCTCTACTACGGCAGGTTCCAGAGCTCCTGCCTCAGCAACCCTGCGCGCTGCGGCCCCGAGGGTGAGTAGTTGGCGCCTGCTGTATTCGGTCATTGTTGGGGAGCCCCCCCACCCCACACCCCCCACCCCTGTCCTCGGGCCAGCACAGGTGTGAGCACGCAGTTCTCCCCAACTGCGGGACGCACCCACAAGGCAAACGCCGGGGCCGGGGCAGGGAGGGACACAGGAGGCTGCCGTCCCAACAGAGCCTTGTCCCCGAGGCCAAGAGGTGTGGCGTCACCCCCACGGAGACGTGAGATCAAAACATTTAACCTTGTAAAGGGGGGAGGAAAAAAAACCTCCTTAAAAAAAGAGACATTCCTGTCTCAACAAAAAAAAAAAAAATGCTAATGCTGAAGGCTCATTGTGAATCTTTTAAGACTCTGCGAAGACACGAATTGATATTTATTTTTTTAATTTTTTATTTTTTTATTTTATTTTTTATAAATTATAAATGGTAAACGAATTAATATTTAAATAGAAGCCTCAAGTTAACCAAATGGGAAAGCGAGGTCTGGGCCCTCCTCTCACCTAACCCCATGTGCAATGCTGTTATTTTTTAATTTTTCTTTCTGGACAGAAAGACTATTTGGCCAGAGACAGGATCATGTTGAATTGAGTGAAAGGAATTTTTCAACACAGCAGAGTTTTTGGAAAAAATTAACTTCCCTGAATCCTACTGGGAATGTGTTTCATAACAAAAATTTCACAACGGGCTGCGCTCACTTCCCTGCGAATCTGGCT